CACACACACACACACACATATATACGCACACACGCACTCTCATACACACACACACATGACAGGGCCGTTCAGAATGGGACCCATAGACATAATCTTTTTTACTGGGACTACTTTAAGGAATTTTATTTTTGATTTTTTTTTCGAATTGCAGTGATTCTATTTTTGACATAGAATTTAATGCCACTCCATGTCCGATGTCTAAGGTCATCTGGTGAGGCATTAATGCAGGCCAGGCAGTGAGACTTCCCAGGGACCTTTCCAGTCTGTATGAAAGGTGTCATGGTCTTCTCCACAGCCTTCACCTCAGATGCAGACCATGGCTTTCTTACACGTTCTAGGGAGAGAAATAAAAATATATTAGCAATATACACTCCCAGGGTTAGGACCAAGCAGCCTGGCTGTAATCCCCCACCTGGTACACTTACCAGAAGGGGCACTGCCACTACCATGGGGTGCATCTGGATGAATGGTTGAAGGTTCTCCGCTTGAAGTTTCTTTTAGCCCGTCCGTTTGTGAGAGGATCTCTACTGCTCTCCCTGTCGCACAGAAAATAAAAATACAAGTGGCCTTTAGGGGAAAAAAATCATACATATTTTAATAATATCAAGAATTACCTTCAGGCTCAATTTGTATCTGGTCGAGGCTCTTTCCTTTGAATTCCGTCACTCTTCCCTGCTCCATGGCCATTAACACTTTGCTGATTTTGGCCAGCTCCAGTGTCCCCTCTGGTAGTCTGTAATATTGTCTGTGGATGCGAATGTCGTGGCCGAGGAAGTTGGCTAGTAGTATGTCCATTTCATTCTCTTTCATATTGAGAACTGTAGACATAGTAGCTATGTGCTTTCTAAGTTTGGTTGAGGATAGCATCTCTGGATGCACCGCACCACATTCTTTGGCTACCTGGCGTAGGGAGTCTGATCCCCTGATGTGGGTGTCTGCGCCCGGGCGGGAAAAGAAGTATGGGTTATGGTCAGAGATGGAACAGGCCCTTCTGTTCTCCACCAGCACCTCCATCGAAGCAATCATTTCAGGAATCAAAAGAACCGGCACTTTCCGACTTCTTTTCCCTTTAATTTCAATGCGTTGAAAATGCTGACACAGCTTTTTCTCAAGTTGGGACAGTCCCAGAGCAATGTCAGAATGGATCCCAGTCTTACTTCTTAAGGTAAAGGCTGTCAGTGGCATCTTTGAAACCTCACCTTCCCTTCTTCGATTGAAAATAATGACCTCACAAAGAGTCAAAACTGCCAGTTTAGACCAATGCTTAGACGTTGGCTCACTTATTAGGGTTTGCACATATTCAGGTCGACATACCTCAATATGTGCATGCATGGCTCTAACGTCCTCAGTCAGAGGGAGCAGGTCCGGAGTGTTCCACTTGGCTTGCCGGAGGGTCTGTAGGGCAGCAGAAGAAACACAGACGTCCCACCTCTTCTCAAAAAGCAGCCGGCTTCGTTGGAGGTTTTTAATAAATAGTTCATCAACACATTGCTCCATTTTTGACTCACATTCAAGAATATCTGCTTTCTGAGGCTATGGCCGAGTTTGAGGGCCAAGGATGGAGTCTTGTATTGATTTGTTTCCTCATCATATCCAGCCACAGACCTGACTGCATCAATCACATGGTTAAAGTTGGAAGGAATAAAGAAATCCTTAATTGTTTTCATTTTCCCTGCGGTTTTTGCTTCGTTAATTAACCTACCGACATCTCTCATTTTCTGCCTAATGTAATCATGCTTAGTCTTATCATGCCCGTGTTTTAAGTACAGGTGCTCTCCGAGTCTCAGAATCCCCTTTTCTGCTTTGACAACACCCGTGACCTCATCCTGATGCATTGCCGAAATTAAAGACCACAGCTTTTTGCTGATGCCCTCCGGTACAGGCTGGGCTAGGGAGCAGAGGGACTGGACCCTACTTCTACCTGGTTTAGCCTGGGCATCTTTCTGTGAAAGCCGGCACCTGGCCACATGCCTCCACAGCGACTTTCGCTTAAGCAATGCCCCACAGTCTATACAGTGCAAAAACTCACTGGATTTAACTGGGGAATTTGGCTGTTTAGCTGGGACTAAAGTTCCAATGCCGGCCTTTAAAACCTCAAAATTGTGCTCACGGTTTCCACTATTCCTGATCAAATCAAACTGAAGTTTACGTGCTTTAGATTTCACAGGTAGAGCCAATGCTCTGGCTACGTCACTTTCATTTCCATGTTTTCTAGTCAAATGACGGGACATTTTGTGGCAGGACATTGAACAGTAGAGGCAGAAGTGTCTCTTGCTGTATACTCGCCCCCCATTTTTCTTCTTTTGCAGCTGCATGATAACAATCTTATTTGCCTTTGGTTCGTCACTTTCCGAGTCTTGAAGAAAAGTGTTTTTGATTTTTCTTTTTCCATACTTTTTTACAGGTTTCTTCTTGACAGTTAAATCGTCAGAATCTGAGTCGACTTCATCAATTAGGGACTCTTGACTAAGCTGCACAAACAACAAATAATTTGTAATCATTCTATATAACAATTTGAAGTCATGACTTGTAGTCAGCACTTACCAGTGATTTGTAAGCGTGCGCTTCAGTGTGCTGCTCTGTGATTGGCTGCAGTCTAAAGCCTAGCGTACATCGACAGAGAAACTGGGGACAACTAGTTGCAAGGCGGCTTTTGGCAACTGAGAGGAGATGGTGGGAGATGATCAGTTGCCGAAATCGGTCGATGTGCGCGCTCTTACAACTGGAGATGATCAGTCGGTCTCCAGTTCCAGTCAGTTGCCCGTGTTCTACTTTTCGGCAACTAGTTGTCCTCAGTTGCTCCGATGTGCGCGCTCCATGCGCCGCTCCGACAACGTGTGTGTATTGCGTGTATAGCGCGCCCGCAACAGTTTATGTCAGAAAACACACTGTGGTTGAGGCCAGTTGCTGTCGATGTACGCGCTGTTATTCAAGAGACTGGCCTGCGACTCAGAGTTGCCCGTTTTCGCCAGATTGTCGATGTGTGCGGGGCAGCAACTCAGAGGCGACGGATATAATCAGTTGCCAGTCCGATGTACGCTAGGCTTAATGAACCACACTCTTGCACCTTTTCTAGCCTGACACCTGATTTCCTCTGTTGTGCTGCTCCATGATTGGCTCCAGCCTCTGTTGTGCTGCTCCATGATTGGCTCCAGCCTCTGTTGTGCTGCTCCATGATTGGCTCCAGCCTCTGTTGTGCTGCTCCATGATTGGCTCCAGCCTCTGTTGTGCTGCTCCATGATTGGCTCCAGCCTCTGTTGTGCTGCTCCATGATTGGCTCCAGCCTCTGTTGTGCTGCTCCATGATTGGCTCCAGCCTCTATTGTGCTGCTCCATGATTGGCTCCAGCCTCTGTTGTGCTGCTTCATGATTGGCTCCAGCCTCTGTTGTGCTGCTCCATGATTGGCTCCAGCCTCTGTTGTGCTGCTCCATGATTGGCTCCAGCCTCTGTTGTGCTGCTTCATGATTGGCTCCAGCCTCTATTGTGCTGCTCCATGATTGGCTCCAGCCTCTGTTGTGCTGCTTCATGATTGGCTCCAGCCTGCTGGACTGAAATTGCCCCAGTGTGCCCCTCCTTGATATCCCGCAACCCACCACCAGGGTTCCGACACATAACACACTTTTTTCAGGAAAGTAAACCTCCAGGGGTCCTTTCCATATTTTTACAGAGACTGCATAAGGACCGTTAGAAAAGCATTACCCATTGATTATTAAGCTTGGACCAGTGGGGTCCGGTGTTCGGGCCCCACCACGTAAAACCAGTCCCCATGACGTGAGTGGAATCTCAGGTTATGGACCCCACCAGGAGTTGAAAACAAGTGCACACACAGACACACACACACACATATACGCACACACGCACTCTCATACACACACACACACACACACACGCTCAAACACAACAGCGAACCTTTTTTATTCATATTCAGTATAATCTTTATTTGGAAGCATCGAGCCAGAAAGTGACACCGTGCATTAAACTGAAACGGTGCTAATCAATATTTACAGAATATTTAAGAAATACAAGAAAGTAAAGAAGGGACGGGGAGAGCGATGGAAGTCTAATCATATCTAACAATATGAATGAAAAGCCATCTACACAACAACACTTTAATATCATTCAATACAATCATGTTGTTCTGTGATTTTTAGCTACAAAAAGACGTGTGTTACATTTGATTGTGAAAGTCTGGAGTATTTTCCTCCGATTTGGTAAAAACGGTTCTGTCGATCAAAAACCTTGACCTTTTGCTCTGACGTGGAACATTGTCAGTGTCTCTAATATTTGCCTAAATCCAGGGTTTGTCCTTCAGTGAAAATGTAAAAATGTGAAACGCCAACTTCATTCAAATAAGTCACAGAACCATAATTATTATTGTATTCAAATAGTCTCTCAGTCATTGAACCTAACAATCTAAACCAGTCGTTTCCCATGTTTGGACGACCAACCGCCTACACACACATCAGGCAATCTATACTTGGCCTGTCATAAAAGTGATTCACAAAACACACAGACTCACAACAGACTCACAACAGACTCACAACAGACAACAGTCCATGCACAGAACCCCAAAACATCAAGCCATGAAAAAACACAGGTCTGAGGGCGGATAGAAGCCATCTGAGGAGCCGTCTGCACCAGGAGAGAGCCGCCTGCAGCCAGAGGACGACACAGGACCCAGAGGAGAGAGGGGGCCCCGGACCCCAACCAGGTCTAAGAGCTAGACCCTCAAAGGACCCAAAGGAGAAGACAGGACCAAGACCCCAACCAGGTCCAAGACCTAGACCCTCAAAGGACCCAAAGGAGAAGACAGGACCAAGACCCCAACCAGGTCCAAGAGCCAGACTTGCACAGTACTCGCAGAGCAAGTACTGTGGCTCTGAATCAAAGGCTCAGCTTCCCATCTGAGATCACAGCAACGAACCTCAGGCCAGACCTCGTTCTGTGGTCGTCAACGCTCCGCTCAGTATACATCATAGAGCTGACTGTTGCCTGGGAGGATGCTGTGGGGAGGCCTTCGAACGCGAGAGCCTGAAGTGCTGAGCAGCGCGGATGCTGAGCAGCGCGGATGCCGAGCAGCGCAGATGCCGAGCAGCGCAGGTGCCGAGCAGCACGGTTGGAAAGCCAAGATTTTCCCAGTGGAAGTCGGCTGCAGAGGCTTTGTGGGCAAGTCAACCATCAGGCTCCTTCAGGATCTTGGTATTCGAGGCGACAAACCAACGCCCTCTCAGGAGTAGCTGAGAAGGCAAGCCGATGGTTATGGATGAAAAGGCGAGACAACTCCTGGGCCCAAAAGTAATGACAGTGGTTCGGGAGGGTTGAAAGCAGAGGGGGGCACACCTGGGACGCCAGGTGGTGCCGATGAGCCCTTTAGGCAAGGCAAGGCAAGGGAAGTTTATTTGTATAGCACAATTCATACACAAGGCAACTCAAAGTGCTGAACAGAGCGTTTAAATCATAAATAATCACAGAACATTAAAAGACATACAAATATAAAATCCCTCAGTTGTAGCACAGCTAAACAGAACTGTCTTTAACCTGGTTTTAAACATTGTCAGAGAGGAGGCCTGTCTCACATCTTCAGGAAGATTGTTCCAGATTTCAGCACCATGAATCTGAAAAGCAGCCTCCCCATGTTTAGTCCTGACTCTGGGCACTAACAGGAGTCCAGTCCCTGTGCTCCTCAGAGTCCGGGCTGGTTCATATGGGACTAACATGTCACTAATATATTTTGGTGCGAGGCCATGGAGAGACTTGTAACAAGCAGAGCTGTTTTAAAGTCTATTCTCTGAGCCACAGGAAGCCAGTGCAGAGACCTGAGGACCGGACTAATGTGGTCGTACTTCCTGGTTCTAGTCAGAACTAATGTGGTCGTACTTCCTGGTTCTAGTCAGGACTAATGTGGTCGTACTTCCTGGTTCTAGTCAGGACTAATATGGTCGTACTTCCTGGTTCTAGTCAGGACTCAAGCTGCTGCATTTTGAATGTACTGCAGCTGTTTTACAGCCTGTTTGGACAGACCTGTGAGCAGGCCATTGCAGTAGTCTAAGTAAGTAAGTAAGTAATGTTTATTTATATAGCACATTTTACAGACCAAGATCACCCAAAGCGCTTTACAATGTTCAGAGTTCAGATACTACACACTTTAGAGGTGTAGTGGGCCTATCAGAGACACCGGTGAAGGAGGGTCTGCACAGCCCTTTGTCACTGGTTCTGTTCAGTTTTTATGAACAAAATTTGTAGGTTCAGCCGGAGGAAGGAGTCTGGTTTGGGACCACAGCATTTCATCTAAGCCCAGGATGTTGTCTCTCAACTGGACCGGGAACAACTGGGTATTCTCACAGTTGGTTGGTTAGTTGGTTGGCGTCTATCTAGCCGCGTCTGGATTGTAAATGCCATTTTAAGTAAGTAAGACATCTTTATCTATAACACAGCTGAGCATGGAAGTAGCAAGTAAGTTTATTTACAAAGCACCTTTCACAGTCACAAAGCACTTCACAAAAGTTGTTACATTTGTCGAGGCGAAAAACGTCATAAACTCAATGTAAAAACAAAGACCTGAGGAATTTAAAAAGCCACGAATGGGTAAAAGTAACACTGCAGAATAAGACCTTATTTGACTTTAATATAATCACAAAAAATCATTTTATAAATTGCTAGTTTTTTTCATGCAAATGGTATTAATAATGTTCAATACAACCCTCCTATTTTTGCGGCAATATCTTTTTGCCCAATTATGTCAAAATATTCCATCCATTTTTATCCCCATAATCCATTTCTGGGTCGGGGGGGGGGGGGGGGGGGGTGGCAATGAGGTCTCTCTGTCAATGAGAACACAGCCTTGATCTTTCAGTGGGGGCTCAGGCAAAGTGGGGTACGTGTCTTGCCCAAGGACACACCGACAGCAGACATATGTCAACATTTTCCATAATAAAAAAGACACATGTGTAAAAATACTGTGGATAAAAGTACTGACCTTTCCTTGTCGGACCTCATGAACCATCTGCAGAGACTGGTTCTGACCAGAGCCTAACGATGGTATTTGCCTAAAAACAAAGCGTCTCACATTCATTAATGACGTTACACTCCCTTCAGCCAGAACCACCACTGGAAATATTCAAAAACCACTATTTGTTTATGAATGACAAATGAGTTTTGTGTATTTAAACGTCTATATTTGTCAGTCCTCCATTTTTGGTCCTTCTGTTTTCACTTCAGGATTTAATGGAACTGCCTTGTCCAACACAACGACAGCAGACTTCAGTGGGAGTCGGTGGAAAAGGTTGTATGGTGGGATCAAACTCAAGACCTCCAGGTTTAAAGGAAAACCCTCTACCAACTAAGAATCACAACCACAGTCAGACTTGGGACGGGTCTAGTTTACGTTTCAATGTAATTCAACAGGCGCCAGAACAAGTTGGAGCGAAACTTCACCCGTGAGCACTTCCTTGTTGGAATTAAATGGAGCTAGCAGATTAGCATTGCGCTTCAATATCCGGTCTATGGTCCAAAGTAAACTATGGTCATGAAATAAATAAATAAATAAATCCTGGGTCATTCTGTAGTAAATGTTACCAAAAGGAGCTTTGTAGGAGACGGTTTTATCCACGCTGCGAAAAGTGATGAAACAAGAAAAAAATTGCTTGAATTTGGCAAAAAAAGTATCTTAATTTGAGCCAATTCTGCGTTAAATCAGCTGAACCAATGGGACAAAGCAAAATGAAATGATGTAAAAAAAAATATATATATATAAACCAAAATGTCACTCATTCAGGTGACCCAGGCCCAGGAGTAGAACAACCGAGTCAAGTGTAGCACAAATCAGACTTTGTGTAAACAATCTGTGAGTGTGTCCATAAATATACAGTCTCCATTGGATGACCATGTTACTAATCAAAATTCTACGAACTACTATCGAGTGTACTTGTGTTGCGATGCTGTGGAGCGATTTTCAGCCATTTGCCAATAACACAGAATGGGGAGAGTTTGTCGTCGCCACGGCAACAGGGTAAAAAATAAGTCTTGGTTGTCATTGACTTTTTGAATCAAGAGGGCAAAACAGAATTATGTGCAAAATTTCAAACATTTTTAATTAACTAAATGTGATTATCCCCATGTAAACCTTTGACATAGTCTGTAGGGGGCGCTAATGGGCCAATTTCATTTATTTAACTTTAAAATTAGCTGAGAGACATAGTCCCTCCAGCATGTCCTGGGTCTTCCCCGGGGCCTCCTCCCGGTGGGACGTTCCCGGAACACCTCCTCAGGAAGGCGTCCAGGAGGCATCCGGAACAGATGCCCGAGCCACCTCAACTGGTGACTGACCGTGTGACTGAGCTCCTCCCACTATCTCTAACGGAGCAGCCACTCTGCGGAGGAAGCTCATTTCGACCGCTTGTATCCGCGATCTCGTTCTTTCGGTCATTACCCAAAGCTCATGACCATAGGTGAGGGAGGGAACGAAGATTGACCAATAAATCGGCTCAGCTCCCTCTTTACCACAACGGTCCGATACAGCTCTGACTGCAGACGCTGCTCCCTCTTTACCACAACGGTCCGATACAGCTCTGACTGCAGACGCTGCTCCCTCTTTACCACAACGGTCCGATACAGCTCTGACTGCAGACGCTGCTCCCTCTTTACCACAACGGTCCGATACAGCTCTGACTGCAGACGCTGCTCCCTCGTCACCGCAACGGTCCGATACAGCTCTGACTGCAGACGCTGCTCCCTCTTTACCACAACGGTCCGATACAGCTCTGACTGCAGACGCTGCTCCCTCTTTACCACAACGGTCCGATACAGCTCTGACTGCAGACGCTGCTCCCTCTTCACTACGACGGTCCGATACAGCTCTGACTGCAGACGCTGCTCCCTCTTCACCACGACGGTCCGATACAGCTCTGACTGCAGACGCTGCTCCCTCTTTACCACAACGGTCTGATACAGCTCTGACTGCAGACGCTGCTCCCTCGTCACCACGACGGTCTGATACAGCTCTGACTGCAGACGCTGCTCCCTCGTCACCACGACGGTCTGATACAGCTCTGACTGCAGACGCTGCTCCCTCGTCACCACGACGGTCTGATACAGCAGGGGTTCCCAAAGTTTTTAGCCCGCGACCCCCATCATAAATGATGATGGGGGTCAATCGAGCGGAGCAGTCAAAATGACGGCTGTGGGAGTTAAACAAAGAACTGCTTGAATAAAAACAAAGATAATTTAATAAAATGACGCGAATGGGCGACAGGGGATCAGTTGGTAGAGCACTGGTCTTTGAGACTAATGTTTGTGGGTACAATTCCACCACGGCCCATGTCACCTGCTCCCACTGATGTCTGCTGTCGTTGTGTCCCTGGGCAAGACACTTAACCCCACTTTGCCTGAAGCCCCCGCTGAAAGACCAGGGCCATGTCTTGGATGACAGAGCAGCCTCCTGTGGACCCACCCCCTGCAGAGGATCAGAGGGACTGGTCTGGTCCAGCTCTGACTGTGACCCCCGACCCAGATGGACATGAGTCGTTACTCTTCCCAAACTAAAAGCAGTCGTTTTGACTGCTCTGAGGGTTCTGCATGTTGTGGTCTCATCTGATCATGGAAATTTACATACAATCATTTCTGTTCTAACAAAAAGCAGTTATTTATGAGACGAACAGCCAAATGTGAAGTAATAATCGCTGGAACCCATTCTGACAGTTTTCAACAAGGTTCTCCATCTGGGACAAAGTCTCATCTAAGATCTGTTTCTTTATTCTCTCATTCCAAGGGAGACATTTCCTGTATATTTTTAAAACAAGATCATTTGGTTTTTTCCCGTTGGGAATCTTGTTTTTAAGCTCAGTCAGAATATGTCAATATTAAGACTTAATATTAAAGTCATTTTTAACTTGTTTTTCAGAGCAAACTAGTCTTTGTGCTTGTGTCCAGGTGAACTTTGTGATTTTGAAATGATTCTGTTGTTGCTGATCGTAACTGTCTCAGTCAGGCTTTATTTACCACTAACATTCTTAGGACATTATTCTTACTGTAAAAAATATATGACCTGAGATCTAACGTACTGTATTGGTTGATAAAAATAAACCACTCCCACTACCCTGGTGGGAGTGGTGGTGGTGTGTGCTGCTCGAAGACAAAGAGGCGAGGCGGCGGCTGGTCCATAGTGCATAGTTTAGTAAATGTACAAATTCAACATTAAACAGACCACAGCTGAGTTCGTACAAACAGAATCATAATATTTTACAAAGATACATTCTGAATTGCAAAGGCTCAATCACTGAAATAAATACTGTCATGGCTAAAAGCAAGTCCTCTCACGCTCTCTCCACACTCAAAAAGGCAAAGAAATCATTCAGAAATCGATTGCCAACCACATCATTGATAGTTCGTTCTGTCACAAAAGTTTTACGGTAAGAAATTCTCAAAAATAGACCGCAATATTTGTTATAAAATCCACGAGATTTGCTTTGGTGTCGAACAGAAACTTCTACACAGACGAAAAAAATACATCTCATTATTGTTCCATTCTGTCTGAAATCCTCCCATGATGCATTTCACCCGCCTCATTCGTGACTCTAAATATTTAAATTCAAAATTATAGTCTCTGGTTGTGCTCGACGCTTAAATAACCTTCGATTACACGTCAAATCTAAACATAAATAATTTAGGGGAGAAATGAATTATAACACGCTACAGTTAAAAACCATGAACAAAACAAAACCAGTAGGAGGGTTGCAGCACGAGCTTGTTTTAGACAGTTGCAGTAATTCAGTACTTTTAAATATATTACTATTATTTGCAGATTTATATATTTGTATCTAATATTAATGCTGTCGGTCTGAAACATGTACAGTTGGTGCTGAACTATCAAAAACCTGAAACAAGATTCTTTTTTCCCACGTTCAGGCCACACTTGAAGAAAAGCCGCAGATTTATGTCATGTCAGTTATAAACAGTTAAAAAGGAGGATTTTCCCACATTTTACTAAGTCCCGCCCTCTTCACTTTTTGAACAAAACTCTCTGGTCTTATTGGACGAGCACGTATCACCAGAATGATTGACAGTCGGGAGGACCAATAGTCTTCAGGATCCACCCGGAAGTAGAAAATCCTCCTTTATACCTGTAAGATAAGTTAGACGTATATTTGTCGCACGGTGGAGAAAGGTTAAAGTCAGTTTTTGAGTGGGCAATTCTTCGTTTTTTTGGTACAGGAGGATTTTTACGCATTTCAGGAAAAAACCGCCCTCTCAAATTTTTGAACCAAACTCTCTGGTCTTATTGGTGGAGCATGTATCGCCAGAATGATTGACAGCTGGGAGGACCAACAGCCTTCATGACCCGCCTACAGGACTGTGTGTGGTTAACAGTAGGACACGCAGTCATTTGGACGGCTCCCAGTAAAATGAATGGAATTCTCCAAAAAATCCCCCAAAAATGTATTATAAAATATTTGATTTTTTTTTTTACTGATTTTTAAAAATGTAAGTAATTCTGATTGATTGTATCTTTATCACATGCCAAAACTGGTGAAAACAAACTAAATACAGCCAAACTAAACGCTAACTGATGCAAGTAAACGGTCTGTTGCTACGGTAACCAAGCTGAGGTCTCTCTGAACGAGTCCAGGATCGAGATAATTTCAGACAACATTGAATTAAACTAAATTGAGACACAGGCAAAGGCCCAATGTTTTGAAGACGGAAATGAGAAGCCGCCAAAATGACTGCTCTGGGAGTTCTGGTAAACGGACGGCTGACTCCGGTCTGATTGGAAAGTAAAAAGGTCAAACCTGAGGAGACGCAGATGTAAACGATATAAACTATATATTTATTGCTCTAGAATATACAGTGTTATATTTTTCTTCTGTATTAAGCTAAAGTTGGAGATTTTATACCTAATTATAGCTTTTTTATTACGCTGGAGTTGAAGATTTTTTATTGTACGTTAGTATAAAGTTATTTTTCATTTATCTTCTGTAACTGACGATGCAACACTGACATTTCCCCACTGTGGAACAAATAATTAATCTCTTTTTCTTCATCTTTAGCCGCAGAGTTCAGCCATCGACAGTTCGGCAAGTTCTGTAGTCTGGTGTTTTTAAGTAGTTTAATTAATGTTTGTTTTATTTTTTCCAGAGTTCCAGCCCTGACCACAACCGTTTGTTTTCTTCAAACTAAATGATCGGCCGGGATAATTATAAAAATAATAGATATAGGACTGTTTCCTGTACAATGAAAAACAAAAACATGTGACCCATTATAAACAATATATCTATGTATTTATCCCACGTTCTGCATGGGTTTGTATTCTCCAGACAAAAATACACCTCAGATTCTTCTCTCCATCTCTGCAAATAGAAAATATTTACGATTCAAGCCGATAATTTATCCTGAACTACAACAAACAAAATATAAAAACTTCAAGTCAATGATTGTAGCGAAACCGTCAAAGCTGCTGAGAAAGGCCACTTCAGACTCGACTCCGGGTGAGGACTGAGGGGATCCAGGAAGTCCGAGGCTCAAAGGAAGCTGAAGGAAGCTAAATGAAGCTAACAGGAGCTAACAGGAGCAAAGGGAAGCTAACAGGAGCTAAAGCAAGCTAACTGAAGCTAACAGGAGCTAAAGCAAGAGCTAACAGGAGCAAAGGGAAGCTAACAGGAGCTAAAGCAAGAGCTAACAGGAGCAAAGGGAAGCTAACAGGAGCTAAAGCAAGAGCTAAAAGGAGCTAAAGCAAGCTAACTGAAGCTAACTGAAGCTAACTGGAGCTAAAGCAAGCTAACTGAAGCTAACAGGAGCTAAAGCAAGAGCTAACAGGAGCTAAAGCAAGCTAACTGAAGCTAACTGAAGCTAACTGGAGCTAAAGCAAGCTAACTGAAGCTAACAGGAGCTAAAGCAAGCTAACTGAAGCTAACAGGAGCTAAAGTAAGCCAACAGCTCACACTTGGGTCGCTCCAGGAGAAAAGCCAGACGCAGACACAGATTCCGTCTGTTTCTGACCAGACGCAGACTCCATCTTGTGATAATAATTGTCATATTTCAGAAGAAGGCAATAAAACAAGTCCGTCCGGGGCTCGCCTCAGAGTCATGACGATGATAGAAATATTTCCAGTGCATTAGCCCTTTAGGTGCAAACTGCTCCTGAATCACTTTCTATACCGCGCCCTGGCTTCACACACTCCCGATCCTGCTTTGTTCAAACCCATTTTTTTTTTATTCATTCTTCATGAACTTATAACGCTTCAGGGCTCCACCTTTTGATCCTGCAGGTTTCAAATTAAGTCTTTTTAAGGCCTTTTAATTCCATTTATAAAACAGATTTGTTCATTCGCTTCTTAACAAATATGAAAACGATTCTTTTACGTGTGGTCTGTGTGTTGTAGACGTTATTTCATCAAAACAATAGTGCTTTATTTTGGGGAGAATGTGATTCGCAGAAGTTACTGATAGTCTTTTCAAGGCTTTAAAAAGTCATTCATTCAAGACCCTG